ATTATATGTTTGTAAGTTTAAATGCCTCATATCTTACAGGCTAACAGTAAAAACTTTACAAAACATACAAAGGTATTTAGCCAAGCTTTGTGGTTCACACATGTAATCCCAGTGTTCAGGAGGCTGAGACAGGTTTGATTACCACAAGTTTGGACTATCAAGTGAGACTTTGTCCCCAGAAAACCATTTTTTAGGAGCTGGAGGGATGCTCAGCAGTTGAGAGCACCATTGCTTTTGCAGAAAACTGGGTTTGGTTCCCGGCACTAATACGGCAGTTCACAGGCATCTCTAACTCCATTTCCTCTTCTGACTTCTTCAAGCACTCAGACCCACATATGGTACACATACATACATACATACATACAGGCAAAACGCTGATAGACATAAAATAAATAAATCTTAAATTTTTAATTAATTAAAGTAAAACAAAAAGGACTTTGCTCTTAGTGATACTATATATATGTCTGTGTGAACTTCTAGCTGTCAAGTTCATGTTTTGTCATAATTAAAGAACTTTATGCAACTATAATACCTCATCAGACTTGAGCAGCATTAACTAACCAGATCTAAACACAACTTCCATAAAAATCATTGTCTTTGATTTCGGATACCCATACTTTCTGCATCTTCTCTTCTTCCTGTTGGGACAGCTGAGACATTTTCAGTATGCTTATAGGTCAAAGTCCCCTTCTCTTCTAAACCCTAACACTCCAAGAGTTGGCTTCATGTTCCCAAATATTTGTAATAGAGCAAGCAGCAGACCAGAAGTGAGAACCTTAGCTAAGCTGTGAATACATTCTTTAAGAAGCTTTCACTGTGACATTCATACTACATCTTTGGCCTATGTGCTACATAGAATTACATAGATCCTAGAATATGTGAAATGAAATTAGACACAGCTAAATACACGTAAAGGAAAATAAAAATGCTGAGTTACAGTGTGAAGTAACTTGTCAGGTTTAATGTTATGGAACCATTGAGTTAATGGTAAGTATATAATTTTGGGGGATTTGTGTTTTTATTCATTATTTGCTAGAATAATCAGTTTAGAGTTAATCCAATATTGATAATGATTTGCTTCAACTAGAGGTGCTTCAAACAAAAGTGTATTGACCTCATTTAAAGCGATATCAACACACAAACTGCTTTAAAAATCTGTGTCATTGAGTTCTGCTGACCAGAGCTTCACGTCCACAGCCTGTGTTACACTAGGATTGAAGGCCATCACCACGTCAAAATCTCTTTGTAGTCAAGCATTTTAAATTGAAAGATGAGGCTGATCGCATGCTGTGCTTAAAACTCTACAACAACGGCTTTGTGAGAGAGCCTGTGCTGCTACCTCTCCAGTGATGAAATGGCAGTTAGCTGTTGTCACTTTTAACCCTGACCTGCTGCTGCCCGGGTGCCATTTCACATTTGAGACGGCAGTGGCAGGTGGCATGAGCTGCCTGTGTTGTGCCTTGGAAACTAAAGCAAAGATTTGGGGGGTTTTAATTGTAAACACCAATAAGGATTGCTGATTAAATTGTGGTGGGATGGATGAGGCCACATTATTATGTTTTTCTTGTTGTTGTTAAAAGGAAATTTTAAAAGATGAGTGTGTGTGCATGCGTGCACGCACATGTCAGGCAGAAAAGGTAAGTATACACACTCAGTAGCTGGATACATGGTGCTCACATGGCATAGAGGTGAAACTTCTTCAGGGAGGTTTTCCAGGTGTGTGGAGGAGAAAGGGCTGCCATAGAACTCCTGCAGAACTGGGCATGCTCTCACCCCACCGCCCAGCTGCTAGTTCCTTGCCACATGTGGCTGAGAAAAATGTGATGAGTACAAGTGTAGGACTGACCTTTTAATTTTTTAATTAAAGTTTATAAAAAGCCAAACTGTAGAGTACATTTTAGAAAAAGAAGTTAAAGTGGAGTAAATAACAGAACCAGTGAGTTGGAGATGAATGTTTGTGTTCCTGAAAGGTCTGCATCTCGAGGGGTTGGTAGTAGTGCCAGGTAGATGTGTGTGCCGTGTAATGAGTGGTTTCTGCAACAGACCTTTGTAATTGTTCTAGTAAAACGTTAGGCAAATGCAGCTTCAACGCTTCAGAGACAGCCTGGAAGAGTCAGGTCCTCACTGACACTCCTCCTCTGATTCCCAAGGCTTTTGAAAGCCAGGTGTTTGTTCCCCCCTTGTCGGTTTCTCTGACTCTTTGATCACTTCCACATCAGTTCTCCAGAGGAAAGACTGTGGGTAGTGGCTCGGCCCCCTTTGGAATAGAGAACTGGCGTTTCCTGTGCTCGTTAGCAGCGTCATTATCTGGAGCTTGGGGTTTACTACCTCTGAGGCAGCAGTTATGCTGGTCCTCCTGTGAGTTTCCCTTCTGCTTCCCCAGGGGGCCCTCAGACAGAGGGAAAGACACTGCCCTTTGCCTTGTGTCACGGGTGGCAAGTAGCCTGATGGGTGAGGTTATAGCAATCAGGGGTAGAGACAATGTGCAACTTACATATGAGTTAACTCACTTTATCAGAGTTAGAAAACCCAGAAGCATTAAGTGCACTCATATTCTGTACCTGTAGATGTGCACTGTCCATTGCTTAAAACATTGTGTCTATATGAGTGTGCACTCACTGCAGTAAGCTTTCCTGTTTACAAGTGACCCTAACTTGAGAAACTAGAGGTTGTTTTTCTCTATAGTAAGACGCATATTCTACATCACAAATGTTCATTTGATAGACAAACTTGGTTGCTTTGTTTCCTTTGGGAGTTCAGAAACATTGTTCAATGGGATCACATTCCAGTGTCCTAATGTCTGTTCTCCGTGTCTCCTAGAAGACTGTAACTACAGCTTCTATGATTACCACAAAGACACTACCTCTCGTCTTGAAAGCAGCAACTGCGACCATGCCTGCCTCTGTTGTGGGCCAGAGACCTACCATTGCTATGGTGACCGCCATCAACAGTCAGAAAGCTGTGCTCAGCACTGATGTGCAGAACACACCAGTCAACCTCCAGACGTCTAGTAAGGTCCCTGGGCCTGGGGCAGAGGCTGTCCAAATTGTGGCAAAAAACACAGTCACTCTGGTAAGCCAGTAGCTGCTACTCGTGTGTTCACATGAGAGGGTTCAGGTTGTGCATGTAGAGTGTTTCCATTGTAGGCTCCTGCTGGGTTTCTAAGCTCCTATCATTTTTCTAGCAAAGCAAACTCCCCTGTGGGCCTGTCAGTTAACTACAGAGGTGTCCTGACACCAGGGACTGGATTTAGTACACTGTCTGAGGTCAAATTAGGACTTGGTTTGGGAGGGAAAATGTCCTTCACAAAGACACATGCTGTTTTACTTCTCTTTCCCTCCGTTCTGTCCACTGTCGCCTCCCCACATCTCCCATGAATTCTGAGTGCTGAAACTCCCTGTGCTGTGGTCTGCTTTGAGGAAAACCCCTGCTGCATCCTTTCTATTCATTATCCCTCTAATTTGAATGCAGCCAGAAAGTACTTAGAGTTGGTTGGGGCACACTTTAAAAATATTAAAGAAATTCAGAGATGAATGTGTCAAAGACCAAGTCCTACCAGAGGGAGGATCCCTTGGAGGGAATACTTGAACAAGATTGTCCATGAGATTTCCAGGATCGAGCCATTAGGCACTGTTGTTCTTGGCTGTTTATGAGAACCAGGTCCAAATTGTGATACTCAGTTACCTTCTTCAAATGACAAAGCCCTTGGTGTTTTTGAATAATGACCAATAATGAGTAAGTAGCAACCAAGTGAAGCTTTGTCACTTACCCAGGAGTCCTTAGAGAAGTAGCCCTGTCATCCAGCCAGACACTAGGGTTCCAAAGTTCTCTATAGGAAGAAAGCCACTCAGCCCTTCTTTGTTGAGTAAAGCTTGAATCTGAATCTGGGGTAGGGGGGGATCCATTCAGACAGGCAGCAAGTTTGATTTTACTTCAGATATAGTTTTGACTCTTAAAATATCTAAGTGTAAGAGAGTTCCTGAGTGTCAGAGAAAAGTGTCCAAGATTGCTGAGCATGCTTTGTTCTGCAGAAGGTATGTGAGGAGACGGGCGTGTGGTAGATCACTTTATGGCATGGAATGTGCAGTGGGAAAGAAATCGTTCCTAAAGCAGTGTTAATTCACATAGTGAAGTGCATGGCAAGAGCTGGTGGGAAGGAATACTGCGTGCTGTGGAGAGCAGACCCCTGTGTCCTGAGTGTCCGCCTCTGACACTGAACTGTGACTGCCCTCTCATGCTTATCTGTCTTCTTGTTTTTGTTTGTTTTAAGCAGGTTCAAGCAACACCTCCTCAGCCCATCAAAGTACCGCAGTTTATCCCTCCCCCCAGACTCACTCCACGCCCAAACTTTCTTCCACAGGTGAGTGAGCCGGTGAGAAACCCAATGGTGGGTGGAGTGGCGTGCAGTCCCCCCTGGCCTGCCCAAGGAGTGAAAGTGGAGCGAAACTCCCTGGATGGAAGGCAGCCAAGATAAGGCCAGGGGAAGCATCGTGGTACTACTAACTTGCTTGAGGGAAATGTAGTCACACTGTCCTGGCAGCAGGGAGCAGAGATGTGTACCACTTTGATGTCTTTTCCCCTTACTAAAAGGAGACAGAATCAACAGCCAACAGCCAAACAAGTCGTTGTGAATCCTGCTTACAGAAGATGGAGTAGGAGTCTGCATTGGGCTTTTCTGCCCAGGCCCAAGCAGTACTGCTGCTCCTCACCCCTGGCAGTTCTCCAAGCACTAGACCAACCCCGGTGGACTCTAGGCAGTCCATCCAATAGAAAGGCCAAGAGTTTCTCTCTCTGAGGTGTAGCTTTCAGACAGAGAAAAGAGTCTGTCTGTGAGGGGTCATACAGTGCTAGCATGAGAGGAGGCCATCCTATTATTCTCCAGATACATCTTTAATAAATACTGTGGGTAGCAAACATTGCACTAAGCTTTTGTGCTCTGGATATGCTGAGTTTCAAGGCACAGTTCTCAGCTGTCCGAGAGTAGCATCACAGTTTCCTGTAGGGAATTATAGTGTCCATGAGGGATGTATGGTAGGCTGAGCAGGCAGAAGGGACACTGACCATTCTAGACTGATAGAGAAGGTGCATTCACAATTTCCTTGAAGAAACTACGTTCAGTGTGAGGCCTAAAGTCCCAGGAAAGTCTGTCTGATAAAATTTTGAAGAAGGAATTTAAAAAATGCCCCAGACTGAGAATACAGTGTAAGCTGTGTGTATGGAGTGGAGACACACACGTGTGTTCAAGGAACCAGGGAGATTGCTGTGGCTGTGCAGAGACCACAAAGCTGACCCAGTTAGACTTAGAGAAGAGCCTGGAAAAGTACATTGGGGAAGAGCCTGAGGTCCTTGCCACTGTGCAGAGATATGGGCTACATCCTAGCAGCAGGGGGATCTGTGGAAGTATCTTCAGGCAAGTACATGACATGATCACACTTAATGTTTTAGAAATTCCCTCTTTCTGCTGTGCAGACTACAGGTTGGAAGTACTTAAGACTGAGGAGGAAGAGCAGTTAGGGCATCATCAGAAATGATGTGAATCCACTGTCATAGAGGCTGTCTGTTTTCATTCTCACAGTAGCCCTAGGTAGAGTTTTCAGTAAGGAATCAAAAGGACTAACAATGAAATCAATGGGGTGTAGATTTCATGAAGCTTTTGTGTTTTAGGAATCTATGTCCATGGGTGTTGATAACAATGTTAAACATAGTTCTTACCACTGTCTCAGAAGCAGCCATCACAGGGTCATTTTAGGCTAAGATAAATATTCAGACTTAAAAGACTGTCATGAGCCACATTTGGCAGCAGTCAGCTTGGGAATGCTAGAAGCCTTGGCTACCTCCAGTAACACAGTATTCTTCTCTCTCATAGGTCCGCCCCAAGCCTGTGGCCCAGAATAACATTCCTATTGCTCCAGCGCCTCCTCCCATGCTTGCAGCTCCTCAGCTTATCCAGAGGCCTGTCATGCTGACCAAGTTTACACCCACAACCCTCCCCACATCCCAGAACTCCATCCACCCCGTCCGTGTCGTCAATGGTCAGACCGCAACCATAGCCAAAACGTTCCCCATGGCCCAGCTCACCAGCATTGTGATAGCTACTCCAGGGACCAGACTCGCTGGACCTCAGACTGTACAGCTTAGCAAACCAAGCCTTGAGAAACAGGTATGGCAGACTATGTACACACCTGCTGTGGTGTAAGCCTTGACCTTGAAGCAGTGGCTGCTAGACACTTTCTAAATATGCTTTGTCAAGGGTTCTTCATCTCAGCACCAAATCGACATCCTATTGCTTTATTGTGTGGCAATTCACTCACATCCAAAGAACCTTTTCTCCTGAAGAAAGTTGTTTTCCCACCTTACCTGGCACAGAGTCTTGTGTGAGTGAGCTCCCCCTGCTGGCTCTGATGCAGAAATTCACAGCTAAGGTCCTTGCCTCAGTGAGGAAACATGCTCCCAACATGTGTGCACGCACACACACACACACACACCTGACACACACACACACACACACCTGAATCAGAAAACACCATGTTAGCTTCACCCAGTAAGAACCCAAGTGTGGGCCTGACTATAAAAGTAAGTCAGGAGCAGTAAGCGGAGCAGGGAACGGGACTTCCTCAGATAACTTCTGAAATTCACCCTTTGAGCTCTAGACTAGATGCAGCAGACATCTGTTCATGTGTTGAAGCCCTACATTCACGTTTTCTAAAGTCAGGTTTTCCTCATAAGTGAGTGAGACCAGAGCAAAGCTGGTCGCCTCCAAAGGCAGCTTCCAGGTAGAACGAGCACTAGAGCAAGGAGTCTCTAGGATGTCACTGTCCCGTCCGGAGAAAGACCAGGGGCGAGAAGGAATTCTTCAGACAAAAGCAGTGTTTCCAGAAAGTTGCTTTAACTAGTCGTTAGCCTGCCCAGCATGGTGGGGCCCATCTATAATCCCAGTACCCAGGAGCCTGAGGCAGGAAGATTGCCACGACCTGGAGCCAGTCTGAGCCAGGGCCACCCTGCTCCACTGTGAGCTCCGCGCTCCTGGAAGTGGCTTCACAGCGCCACTTCCATCAGTAAACCTCACTTTTCTCTATGAAGAAAAGCTTTTCTTCATTTTATTTCTCCGTTTCTTTTTCTGATCATACAGATACTATGTGTGATTTTAAGAAATACTAACAGAAATAGAAATTGTAGAAGATGCTCTCCCCCTAACATTCACTTTCTGAAATTTTAACAAAAATTTACCTCCAGTACTTACTATTAATATTTCCAATTACATGCCTGCCGCAAAAAGTCATTCTCCTGGTCTGTTTTTAATTGCTCAGACTTGACTTCCCATTCATGTTATAATAGTCTCTGGTGGTTCTCAGTCTTCTCCCTGGGTGGGTGGGTGGCCAGCTGTGATTCAGAGAGGCTGCCCCTGGCGGGGGCATCACAGGCAATGCTGCCTTGGGCTTCTTGGACAGAGGAACCTTGCACATATACTCCCGGGCCTTGGACTCAGGCCACTCATCAGTGCAGCAGAGTTGAATTACAAGACCTTATACTCAGGAAACACACAAGACAGCATATCAGCATTCCTGTGGAGCCTGCCCAAACACCAGGAAGTGCTTTGAGGAACATTCTGAAATAAATTATTAACACAGCTCTAGATCAGAAGTTTAGACCGCTTGGCAGCCGGGCTTCGGTGCTCAGATATGGAAAGTCAGATGCTCAAGTACAGGGTCTTAGGGGACAAGTCCTCAAGGGCTGTGCCGACCCTCAGAAGTGCTGGGGGGAGGGGTGGTGCTGGAGAGATGGCTCAGTGGTTAAGAGCACTTACTGCTCTTTCAAGGGACCCGGGTTCAATTCCCAGCACCCACATGGCAGTTCACAATTGTGTATAGTTCCAGTTCCAGGGCACCCAACACCCATGGCAAAACACCAATGCACATAAAATAAATAATTTTTTTAAAAAACCTGCAAAAAACAAGGAAGTGCTGTGGGGCCTCTGTTCCTCAGAAAGTGGTGTCCACAGAGCCTTTTCCATCTCTTTCACCTTTGGTAAATAAAGGAAAAGCTGTTTTCATTCTCATCTTATTTTCCCATTTCTTTTTCTGGTTATACAGGTAAATAGATATGATTTAAAAATTGCAAACATCGCAGAAATATGAATTATGGAAGATGTTTTTCCCATAATCTATGCATTTTCTGTAATTTTAGTCTGTTACTACCAATAGTTAATTACTATTAACTGTTGCTGGAGGGCTTCTCTCCAGGTTCCACCAAGCCCCGCAGTCCCACAATCCACGTATAAAATAATCACTCAGACGCTTATATTACTTATAAACTGTATGGCCGTGGCAGGCTTCTTGCTAACTGTTCTTATATCTTAAATTAACCCATTTCTATAAATCTATACCTTGCCACGTGGCTGGTGGCTTACCGGCATCTTTACATGTTGCTTGTCCTGGTGGTGGCTGCAGTGTCTCTCCCTCCTTCTTCCTGTTTCCCCAATTCTCCTCTCTCCTTGTCCCGCCTATACTTCCTGTCTGGTCACTGGCCATCAGTGTTTTATTTATATAGAGCGATATCCACAGCAATTAACATTTTCTGTTATGTGCCTGTAGATACTTTCTGTTTCTATACTAACAGAATTTTAAAGCCAACTGTGTGTTTTAACCTAGTCTTCTCTAGGTTTGAGGCATCTTTTCATGTCGTGCACTTCCATGTGGATGGTGTTTTATGGTTTGATTTGAAGAGCACAGAGGTTCTAAGTTGAAGGCCTTCTTGCTAGTCGTATGTCCTGGCATCCTCTCTCTGCTAGAATATAGGAACCCAGTCATTGCTAGTTTAGTTGGCAGGCCATCTGGCCTAGCAGTCCTCCAGATTAGCCCAGTTAACAGGGACTCTCCTTACACGAGATTCTATTCTTAGGCTCCCTTCTTCAGAGCTTCCACTGAGCTTCTCTTAGGTGGGCTAACGTAGGAAACAAGTAGTCACCTGTTCACAGGATTTCTAAGCCTGTGTTCTCAAGGCTTGCTAGGTTTGCTGTTTCTTCAAAGGCAATAACCTTATGCACTTCTTAAAAATCTGTTAGTGAGCACAAGGGATGTAGCTCAGTGGTGGAGCTCTGGCCTGGCATGTACAAGGACCTGCGTTCCATCCCTCACACCACCAAAACAAACCCCAACAGCAACAACAAAGTCAAGGGCCAGCCACTTTGCTCCTCATGGTGTTTGTATGTAGAGATGAAAAGGAAAGAATCAAAGCCTGTACCACACAGAGCTGTCTCTGGTGTATTTGGGGCAGGCATTGAGGCTTTGCCTCAGGGAAGGGAGCATGGCAGACTCTGTTGACCCGTGGCCTCTCTGTTTGATGTAGGAAAGAAGGCAGTGGAGTTATACTAGCAATAGCCTCACTCTGTCTATCAGGAGTCTTCTTACCCACCCTCACTAGAGAGCCTCAGGTGTCTCCCTTACTGAAGCCACATTACACTGTGGTTCTGAGAGAGGAGAGGAGGAGTTCACAGAGCTTGAAAGCTGACAGCACCAGGAGCACCATAAAGACACCGTGGGCTTTGGTTCCAGACCACCACAGTTAAGACATACAATAAGCCCAGGTCCACGACTTACTTGCTCTCCCTGGTACATTTAGAGTCATGTATACACTGTGCTGCAGTCTCAGGCTACAGCAACACTGTGGTGTCCAAAAAATGTGCATATCTCAGTTTTAAAACCTTCAACAAGTGGTAATGTTGCAGCTAGTTGAAGGTTTTGCTCCGATACCGATGGCTGTTTATGATTACATATCCTTTCAGGAGGGATTTCTCTGTGGCATGTGATGTAGTGTGGTGGCACCTTTCCCATGACAGGACTTCTTTGAAAAACTAGAATGAATCTCTAATATTCTCTAGATAAGATTCCATCTCAAGAAAACGCTTACTATTCTCAACATAGGGATCAGCCCCTCCCTGTTTAGCACTTAATCATGGGATGAGTGCAGCGCCACCACAGCGCCACACTCCACTTCTGGTTCTGCCACCTACTGTTTCCACCACCTCTGTTGCTCCTGCTACAGTCTTGGACCCCTCAAAATTGTCTGTGAAGATTAGTGTCAACTTCCTGTTAATGTTTATATTTGACCTTCGCTATATATGTCTTGAATTTGAGCATCTAGAATATTGAATCCTTTCCAAAAGGTTTTCAATTTATGGCAGCTATTGCCTTATAAAATGTATTTCTCAAATAATAAGATTTGAAAGTCACAATTGCTCCTTGACCCATGGGCTGTAGAATGGACATTGTGTTAGCAGGCATGAAAACAACGTTAATGTCTTTGTACAACTCCATCAGAGCTCTTGGATGACTGGGTGCATTGCTAGTGAGACTATTATTTTGAAAGGAATCTATCTGAGCAGTAAGTCTTAGAGTGGGCTTACACTGTTTATAAACCGTTCTGTAAACAGATGTGCCATCGTCCAGGCTGTGTACTTCATGTATACAGCACAGGCAGAGTCGAGTTAGTGTGGTTATCAGGGGCCCTAGGATTTTCAGAATGAGCACTGGCTTCAACTTAAAGTCACAACGGCATCAGTCCTTACCAGGAGAGGCAGCCTGGCCTGCAAAGCTTTGAGCCTGTGCACTGACTTCTCTCTAGCTATGAAAGTCCTCGGTGGCATCTTCTTCCAGCAGAAAGCTCTTTTCTTCTACCTGAGCATCTGCTGTCTGGGGTAACCAGGCTTAGCTAGACTGAGACAGCCTGCTGCGGCCTCTGCACCAGCGCCCTCATGCCTCCTTGTCCTTTTGTAATACAGTGGCAGTGTCTTTCCTCAAACCCACAAGCCACCCTTGGCTGTCATCGGACGTTTGCAGCTCCTCTGAGCCATCATAGAGTTGAAAGGACATGGCTTTTGCTTTGGACTAGCCCTTGTCTTGTACAATGTTGTGGCTGGTTAGGTCTTCCATAGCAATAGTAGGCTGTCACTTTCTTGTAGTTCCTGAGTTCATGGAGAAGCATGGTTAACTTCCTCCAGGACTTTTCCTTTGGGTGTGTGGCTTGGATGTCTGGTAGAAGAGAATCCCCTTTTAGCCTGTGTTAACCTCACTAAGCTTAATCATTTTCTAACTTTTGGTTTAAAATTACAGACATGTGGCTCTTTCTTTCACTTGAACATTTAGAGGCCACTGTGGGTTATTAATTAACCTAATTTCAATATTCTGGAGTCCTGCAAAACAGGGAGGCTCAAGGAGGAGAGGGAACGAAAGCCAGTTAGATCACACACATCACTTATCAATTAAGTTCACCTTTTTTAGTGGGTGCTGGCTGTGTGTGGCACCCCAGTTACAGTAGTAACACAAGAGATCCACAGACCACTATAGATAGAATCTTGAAAAAGTTTGAAATATTGCAGGAATTACCAAGCATTACAGTAGACACGCAGTTTATACAGTGTTGGGGAAATGCCACTAATAAAATTAGGTGACATAGGAGTGCCATAGACCTTCATCCCTGCCAGTGTCCGTGAAGTTCAGTGCAGCAAACACAGTAGAAGGAGATGACCTCCCACCACCCATGTGCTTCATGGGACTGTGCAGTGGGACCAACATCGGCTGGTGGTAACATGTGCTAAAGTATTTCCTGATGCAGATCCAATTTTCAGGGAATTATGTTTGTCTGTTTCTTCTCCCCATCCACACCCTGTGACAAAGACCTCTATATCCCCAAGGCTAAACTGCTTTAAAAAAAAAGGAGGGGGGGTAGGTCTAGAGGGGAAAAATGGCAGACTACCACCACCCAGGGGAGAAATTTTCATAGGAATTTCAATAGTGTCCTCTCCAGCAGGCATGCTTAGGAGAGTATACATCAGTGCTGTCCAGCCTTCCCTCCCAGTGAGCCTGATCTGAGAGTACAAGTGACCATAAAGCGGTTTTGCCTTGCCTCTAGTCTGAATTGACATCATTCAAATAGTGAAACTACCTGAACACTTGCCTACTGCACCTGTCACATGGGGAACTTGAAATCTGGGATATCAATAATTACCTTAGTTCTGGACATGACAAAGTCTGGGGAGTCCATCTTTTATACATCCAAAAAGGAGCAGGAGTTCATCAGACAGGTGTAGAGGGATGCGTGAAGCAGGAGATAGACGTGAGCAGTGAGCTGGGTAGACAAGTGGACTTCCTATTTTTCTACTTGCTATAGAGCATGACTGTAAGTGATATGTTAATTTCATTCTTAATTCCTCTTAAAATAATCCAACAAGCGTGGCTATAATTGACAGTTAAAAAAAATGGGAAAGGCTTATTTTCAAGGAAGCAGCTGCTGCTTGGCAGTGGCCAGTTTTGATCATACGGAAACTTACAGGTCCACAATCCAGATGCTTTGAAGAATTGCCTAGTTTTTAAATACTGGTAACTATTTAAACAGCACATAAGCAAAAAGGTAACGTCTTCAATGCAGCTTCAGTCCTAATAATGCTTTATTTGCTCTACTTTTTTTTTTTCTTTGGGTTTTTCAAGACAGGGTTTCTCTGTGTAGCTTTGCACCTTTTCTGGATCTCACTCTGTAGTCCAGGCTGGCCTCAAACTCATCGAGATCCTCCTGGCTCTGCCTCCCGAGTGCTGGGATTAAAGGCGTGTGCCACCACCTTCCAGCATTTCTTACTATTTTTAACTGAAGTGAAAGTCACTTCACAAATAATTAGCCATCCAAAAGTAAGCAGTTTAATGGCATTTAGTACATTTACGGTGTTATGCAACCACTGTCTGTCTAGTTGCAAAATATTTTCATTACTTTAAAATAAAGCCCAGTGTCTATTAAGCAGCTATTTTCTATCCATCCCTTTGTTTGTCCCTGGCAAGCTCCCCCCACCCCCACTTCCTGCTATGTCTGTGGCATTGATGACTGTTGTTGTTTCATATAAATGGGACAATTTAATAAGTGACCTTTTATGTAAAACTTTTCACCTCTAGCGTGTTTTCAAGATTTGTTTATTTTGTAACATTGCCAGTACTTCTTAATGACTGGCTTATATTCATACATTTTTGTGTGTATCACAATTTGTTTATCGATCATTTGTTGATGGACATTTGAGTTGTGTCTACCTTGTAGCCATGGAGACTGGTGAGTACCATTGGGAATATTCATTCATAAGCAACTTATGTCATTTACAGTTACTTTGGATGTACAGCTAAGCATATGATTGCTGTGTCATGTAATGCCACACTTCCTGTAAGTCACACTAAGTAATTTTTATTCCCAACAATAAAATATATGCATTTCATTTGCTTGATATTCATGCTAATATAAGAGTGTTTTGTTTAAAGCTATCCTAGGATGTGTGAAATATGCAAAGAAAGTGGGTATTTTCATCTCCATAATTATTAATACTATTTAGTTTCTTTTCATGTTTATTGGCATTTGTATATATTCTTCAAAGAACTATCTGCTCAAACCCTTTCTCCACTTTTTATTTCAAAAAATTTCTACATCTATTTATTTTGTGTTTGGTAAGTGTTTTGCTCACATGTGTGTCTGTGCATCATGTACCCATGGAGGTCAGAAGAGGGCATTAGATCCCTTGGAACTGGAGTTATAGACAGTTATGAACCACCATGTGGGTGCTGAGAATCAGACCTGGGTCCTTTCTCTGCAAGAACAACAAGAACTCTTAACCACTGAGCCATCTCTCAGACCCTCTTTGTCCACTTCTAAGTAGAATCAGTACTCTTTGTCTTAGCGAATTGTAGGAATTTTTTACTTAGTGTGGATACTGGCCCTTAGCAGACAACAGTATCTTTAATATTTTCTCTTGTTCTGTAGGTTGTCTTTTCACTTTATTGTTGCTGTCCTTCAATACACTGTTGTACCCTGCAACTTTGCTGAGATTATTAGCTTTTGGTAGGGTGTGTGTGTGTGTGTGTGTGTGTGTGTGTGTGTGTGTGTGTTTTAAAGAGTTTTTAATTTTCAAATTACATGTGTGTACAGGTACCTGCAGAGTCCAGAAGAGGGCTTTGGGTCCCTGGAGCTGGAGTTAAAAGGTGGTTGTGAGCTGCTTAATATGGGTGTTCTGAACTCAACCCAGGCCCTCTACAAGAACACAAGTGCCCTTAAAAACTGAGCCATTTCATGAATTCCTAGGACCCTATTTATTTAAAGGACTTTGACTAATATTCTTTAAATTTGGTGGAGCTCAGATGAACCATCTGATGTTGTTTGGGGAAACTTTGATTACTGTTTCAGTCTAGTGTTTCAATGTTTGTTTAGACTTAACTGTCTCATGTTGGGTCAGCTTGGGTAATGTATTTCTAGAGATTTGTCCATTTCTTTTGTATTACCTGGTTGTCATACAGTTATCTGATGTAGTCTCTTTAAAATACTATTTCACTACTATAAGTAAGATTAAGAATAATGTCCCTCTTCTGCTTTTTCATTATTTCATCTTTTTCGTTGGTCTCCAGAAGTTTATAACTCTTGTTGATGTTTTTTCCCAAAGGACCAAGTTTGAGTTTTTTGTTCATTTGTTTGTTTATTTTGAGACAAGGTCTCACTATGTAGCCCTGGCTTGCCTTGAATTCACAGAGATTCCCCCTGCCCCTGCCTCTGCCTCTGCCCCTACTATGTTTAAAGTCTGTAGGGATGGTTATATTACACCAGCCAAAATCAACTCTAAGTTAAAGACACAAAAGGAATAGATGTTCCCTTTTTTGAAAAAAGATTTATTTATTTATTATATGGTGCTTTGTCTGCATGTATGCCTGCAGGCCAGAAGAGAGAGCCAGATCTCATAACAGGTGGTTGTGAGCCACCATGTGGGTGCTGGGAATTGAACTTAGGACCTCTGGAAGAGTAGCCAGTGTTCTTAACTGCTGAGCCATCTCTCCAGCCCCAGCATAGATGTTTCTTGTGTCAAAATACAGGGATGAAAGAATTGATCTGTAAAGGGGGTATAAGAATTTTAATATATACACCCATCAAGAAAATCCCAAGTCTTATGAAGTAAATACTGACAGAATTGAAGAGACAGACTGTCCCACACCAATGGCTGGAAGTATTAATTCCCCAGTTTAATAATAGCAGCAGCACTTAGACAGGAACACACGAGTAAATAAGAAAACTGAACAAACTCGATGCTGATCCGCCCCGAAACACACAACAGTAGTCTGTTCAGTGTTGTCCTTCCGGCCCTCCCTTTCTCCCGTCCGCTCTAGAGTGAGGCTCTAGCGGAAGCATGACTTACCTATCCGTTCTGCCACTCTGCCTTTTAGTTGTGAGGTGAAGCCAGGGGACTTCAGTGGTCACCAGTGCGGAGGTACTTGGCTGTGTTGCTGTCCGCGTGTCTTACACCGTCTTCTTCCCTTGGGCCTTCAGTACTGGCCTCTTTTGTGTATCTTTTTCCTGGTGTACGTTTTCTTCTCTTCACTATATCCTTCTTTTCCATGTGTATTTAATTTTCTAGTAGTTACAATGAAGATTACCGTCGGCTTTAACAGTCTCATTTTAATTGATCCCAGTTCAGTCTCAGTAACAGATAGAACCTCTGCTCTGTGAAACTCTGCTCTACAACGCATGTTGTGTCAAAGTTACATCTTATAGTGTGTGTCCGCTAGCCCAGGCTTAACAGTTGTCTCAGACATCCGTCTTTTATATAGGGAAAGAGTGAGCAGTTACTAATCAGACCTGCTGTGATGCGGCCTGTGTCGTTACCTTGACTGGAGTTCTCTTTGTGGCTTCAGGTGACAGTTTTCCTGCCTGTCATTTCTTTCCAGCAAGTGTGCTGGCAGTGGATAAGAGAGCCTCAGCTTTTGTTTATCTCAGTCTCTTAATTGATCCTTCATTCTTCAAGGATAGTTTTAATACAATATAGGATTGTTAGGCAATGGCTTTGTTTTTTCTGGGTTTTGTTTGTTTGTTTTACGCAACCCTTTAAGAACATTGCTCCTCTGCCTTCTGGTCTGCAGCATAGCTGGATAGTTTGGGCTCCAGGTCTCACAAGTTTGTAGTCAGGCCAGTGCTGCAGCTGTCCCGAGGCTTAACTAGAGTTTGGGTAGTTTATGTCTAAATTCAGTCAAGTGATTCTTGGCCTTGCTTTTTGCTGGTTGTGGGCAGGAGACTATTTCATCTGGCCTGAATGTCTCCATGGTCCTGGGCACATGACAGCTGCCCTCTGCTAGAGCCCGAGGTCGTTGAGAGAAAGGACCTCCCCCTAATGTTTGGATTGCTTTATTTTTGTTTGGATGCAGTTTTTTCAATGTTCTTTATGCAACTCAGTGTGCTCTGCTTTCCAGAGAGAGAAAGAGAAATGCGGGCGTGGGTAACCCTTGGTGCAGAGGGGCTCGCCCTGCCCAGGAGCACTGCCACCAAGTGTTGGTTCAACCTTGGAAATAGGAGAGAGGCTCTCGGGAACTGTTGATCTGTTCCCAGAAATGGAATATAAACCTTGTGGCTGACCTGTCTCACTCTCCTGTCCTTCCACACTCAACGTCAGGAAAATAAGCTGATTCTGAGAACCTCAAACCTTAGTAATGTCACTGTGAATGGCTTTCCCATTAAAGGTTTGCTTTATGGAGGAAATAGGCCCTTTGGGGGCTAAATTAAAAACTATGTGGGTAAGGAAGGAGAAGGGGATTGAGAGAGAGATTGAAGTTTGATTGATTCTCCTGGAGGCCAGTGCTTTATTGAATGCAAGCATGAGGTGCCATGCCAGCTCAAAGGCGTACAGTAACAAGGAGTGTACAAGCTGCCCCTGCTCACATGGCTTGTAATACAGATGGAGACTTAGGGCGGGACACGGGGTAGAGCAGTAGGGCAGCAGCTGGGCCCTGGTGCAGTGACTGGCCCGTATTGATAGCACATCTTATACCTGTGTAACAGCATGCAAAGTCAGAGCGAAGTATGAAAGGATACTTCGGTATCATATTTTATGGGGTAAAGTCTTGCAGTCAGCTCTTGCCTATCAATAATCAGATTTTATTCTAATTTACTTAATTACTTGTTACCTTACAAAAAGACCATTGCACCTATAATTTTCATTGGTTTTCTAAAAGTAAATTAAGTTTGTATTTATAGTTTTATATCTACTGTTCTAAAACCATTTTATTTCTACAGAACTCATAAAAGAACTAGCCATTACTCATAATAAGAACAGTAATACAAGACTGCCTGTGTACTAGCTACCATTTGTGTCGGCAGATAGTAATGTAACTGGTGTTTCTGTGTTGAAGTGAATGCTTCTAGGAGTTGGGAGGGATTAGAACTTCAGCCTCTTGCAAGGCAGTTTTTAAGCACCCCAAGTTAAGGTAGTCCTGGGTAGTACTTGAGGTTGTTCTGAAGAAAAGCTTGAGATAGAAGAACTGTGAGGTCACGCAGATCTTAAGCACATGTGGACACAGAGCTTGACCCGTATATAACAACAATGGGATGTTTCTGGAAATCTCCACGTCCCACAGCCAAGGAAAACAGCCTCTACTTTAGTTTTTCTTTGCCTTTAAAAAAAAAATATTTCTTACCACCTTTTAATTTCATATGTTTGGATATTTTGCCTGAATTTATGTCTGTACACCATGTGTGTGCCTGGTGCCCAAATAGGCCAAAAGAGGGCCCAGCGTTACAGATGGTTGTGAGCTGCCATGTAGGTGCTGAGAACTGAACCGAGATCCACTGCAAGAGAAGCCAGTGCTCTTAACCTCTGGCCCTTGTTTGCCTTATTATTTCCTGGGCAGTGAGTGTGCCGTGGTGCCCATGTTGGGGTCGAGAGACACTCAGGGAGGTTAGTTGTCTTTTCCCACCATGTGGACCTTGGGGATCAAATTTCTGGTTATCAAACTCTGCTGGACTTTGACATTTTTTCTTCTTCCTCAACAAAATGCATCATATGAACTTATCTGTTAATGTTTTGTATTTGAGTACATTATTAAACTGTTTTCGATTCTTTTATAAAAAAACTAATTCTGAATTTTTGCTTAATTGTTCTCTCCTAGACAGTTAAATCCCACACAGAAACAGAGGAGAAACAAGCAGAGAGCCGCACCATCACTCCACCTGCTGCCCCAAAACCAAAACGAGAAGAGAACCCTCAGGTAGGACCGTCTGCAGGGCCCGGGGGCGGGGTTTAGTCCTCTCGGGGGTTCCTTTCCTTCAGCGCTGCAATTACCACCCAGGTCGACCTGGGGCAGGGTTTTTTAGCACAGAGTCCGGAGGGCCCAAGTACGGGTGCTGAAAGGAAGAATTCTAAAATGATGTTTTTATGTAAATCCTGTAAACTTGACGCAGAAGATTAGTGATTGATTTCCCAGGTGTCCTGTAACATTCCTAAGGAAGGCGGTGCTGTGCTTGTCTCAGACAACATCTGTAGGGCAGCTGAGGGAATCAGCTGATGTCTCTTTACATTGTGGATTGCCATCGTGTGTTCAGTTTCGTTAGGTCACTTTATTATATTAGAGCAATAAATCCCAAAGGAGTTAGTGTCTCAAAAGTAGAGTGTGAAAGTGGGTTGAGGAAGGTAATGTCCGCACTCACTATGACATAAGCGGTCAACAAGCCCAGCCTAGGCATCGGGCTGTCTGTGTGTCCCTGGAGGAGAGGACATTCTGGCTTGATGCTCTTGCACAGGCAGATGTGAAGGAAAACACAGATGGTGGTATGGTTATGACGGTAAACAGCTGGGGATGGCGTCGATGGGAGCCTCTGTCCTCAGTGCATTCTCATAGTGAAACCATACCAGACAGTGGCATGAAGGTGATGATCTATTGAACCGGCAGGTACCAAACATACTTCTCTCTGATGTGAAATCAGCTGTATTTTTTAAAGGGCCACAACTTGAACCAAAAAGAAGCACTTGTTACCAATATTGCTGAAAAACTTGGAGATCATTCACAAAAAGCAAATGTTACACTGAGAGGAAACAGCAAACTTAGCAAAAGAAACCGTTTTGAGACAGGGCCTTGCTGTATGTTCCTAGCTAAGTTGGAATTGGCTGTGTAGCCCAGGCTGCCCTTACACTTGCAGAATCCACCTGCTTCTGCCTCCCTGGTGCTTGGATTACAGGCATTCACCATCATGCATAAACACCGTAGTTTATTTGTAAAAAGAAAGGACATCTCATATCAGTGACCCATTGCAGGTACCATCATGTGTAGTAGCAAATGCTATCTTCCAGTTGAATATAGCCTTCTGAGATTACTCTCTTGGAGAGGTGTGTGTTTGTTTGTGTGTAAGACCAAACTGTTGTTAGTAACTATGGGAATATGTTGACTAATAGTTGAAGGTGTTTTCATTCACCAGAGACTATGTCCTTCTCTGTACTTGGGTCTGTAGGAGCCATGCAGTGCTTCAGTAGACAGTGAAGACAGACTTTTCAGATCGCAGCCAGCCCAAGCAAAGTATAACCATCAGTCCATTGCTCTTTCCAGTTGAAAGATCTTATGTTCTGTCTCAGGGACACAGGTGCAGGGAAATTTCCCTGTGATAGTTAGTTTTCATGTTACCTGAAAATTCCAGTATTAAGCAGAATCACCTACCACTGTCCCTGAAAACATTAGCTGGTATTCCTGCTGTCTGGCCGTGGGAGTAAACGTGAGGAACCAGTGTCCCAGTGAAGAGTGGCATGCTTAGAACTCAAAGCTTGCTGCTGTGAGGTTCCCTAGCCCTCTGCATACTCCTCCACTGTGGATACTCTTTAACTGCTAGCCGGGCGGTGATGGCGCATGCCTTTAA